TCTCGCGTCGTGGGCTTCAGACTTTTGGTTGCCTGGTCCCATGCCATGTATGCCCAAGCCCCTTCCGCAGTGAGGATCTTTTTTGCCATCAGCCCCTGTCCCAGCTCCTGTCTCATCTGCTCTTGGACCTTCGTGACTCGTGTTCCGAGCTCCGTCCAAAACGCCACCGACATGTGTTGACGCAATGGCATGTCTACCTGACGTGCCGCCTGTTGCTGATGCCACGTCTGGCTCAACTGAAGAAGGTTGGGCAGATAAGAGCATCATTTCGGTGCTTTGCGCCAGGACTCGCAAGGCCTCCTCCTGGCGTTGCAATTGGATGGCCATCATCCTTACGACACGCCTTGGGGACCGAGACCGGAGCCGGGGCCCTTCACCTGCTGCGCATGACCTTGTGATCCGCGCTGTCGTTTCTGTCCATACTGGTTCCGCATCATTCCCTGCCGATTCGGCGTGGGAGTCTGGAAGAGGGGATGAAGACCGTCTGCCATGTTCATCGGGCCCATCGTGTGACCCGTCGCGAAAGGTGCCATGGTCTCCATCAGCTCCAGGCGCGGCTGATCTTCGCCGTCCATCCACTGGTCCGGGAAGCTGGGGTCCTGGAAGAAGCTGGCCGCAGTCATCTCTGGGTCGCGTCGGTGTGCTAAGTGAGGTCCGATCCTGTCGAGTAGAATCCAAGGCCTGTCTCTTTCTGGTCGCGAGATTCGAGCCAGCCAATGTAGTTTGTGTACCATGAACTTACAGGTGTAGAAGGTTGAAGGTTCCTCCAAAGGTTCCAGAGAAGCGACTCTGAGAGTAGGTTGGAAAACTGCTTTTGATTCTCTGGCTCAAGGCTTTAAGTTTCGATTGTTCCTTGATCGGTTCGCGAAAGATGCCGTGTATTTGCCTATTGTATAAATTTTTGAATGGTTCTCGACTGAAGTCAGAATCAAGGGTATGTCTGAAATGACACTACCCTAGAATGTTTCCAAATGAACATGATGCATTATCGAATGCTACAATGCCGAATGGCATTTGGCTCAAGACGAGACAGGACTGGCTTGGTCGCATAAAGGAATGTATGCCTGTGTGTGCTGATTGGGGAAACAAACTAATCTTGGTTGGTTGTAACTGTCTGAACTGTACACTGGAATTTTGCATGGTAACGGAGCTTCGGCTCTGGAGACAGGGAAAGAGTGAGAGAGAATGGGCTTCGGAACAGGAGGGATTGGCGGAGAGATAAAACTGTTTCCTCCCCCTGCATACCACGGTGATTTGGAGAAATGGGAAGACTCATGGCAGTTGAAGCGATACATCGGACTGTACAAGCCGATTGCCAAACTGATGATGGATGATGTTGAGGGAGCCAACACTGTGATCACTGACGAGTGATGTACAGCAAACGCGATCGCAGACGAATCAACTGACACTGTTCTCGAGACAACTGGCATACATGCTTGTGCAGATCACTACTGATGGTGCAGCAAGGTCGAATGTTCGAAATGAAGACACAGAGGCTGGCTTCGAGATTTGGAGACGATTGCGCAAGCAGTTTTCATTGCCTGAAAGAGGGAATGATCATCTTGAGAGTGATTTGAACGATTTCATGATTTTGAAGTATAGACCTGAGAAGACTGCTGGAAGACCTCGGGCAATGATCTCTTGATCACGTTGCTAATGTGGCAGACTGTTGGTCCATTGCAGCAGCATTTGCGATTGAATGTTCAAATTATCACGACCTTTACTGAGGCCCCGGAGATTGTATATAGCTACGACAAGAGCAGACATCTGACTGTGCTAGGTGGCAGGATTGACTACCAAGGCCAAGCCGATATGGAAATAGGTGCATTGAAAGGAAAGAAAGGATGGAAAGGAATTGGAATGAAACGAGGTGAAGGAATGTGCAAGGGCCAAGGGCAAAGGAAAAGGTTTCAAAGGTAAAGGAATGTTTTCGTACAGCGGAAAAGGAAAAGGAAAGAAAGGTTACGGAAAAGGAAAAGGAATGAACGGAAGGAAAGGAAAAGGAAAAGGACAAGGATGACTGGAGAAAGGAACGCCCGAAAAGAGGCAAAAGTTGAATGTCAGTTGTGACTGGTGAAGACAACCAGCAAAAGAATCAGCAAGGAGAATGGATTCAGGAATGGAGTCCCGATGATGAGTGGTACTATGACGATTTGACATGGGATGAATCGGACCGGAATTCTGAGTGGATTGGTTCTGTTGACGATTGGTCCGGTGACTGGTCTTGGTACGATGACGACTGGAGTTATTGGCCTGAGGACTGGTCCTGGAACACTCAGGATTGGTGGACACCTGAGGCCCAAGTGAGCTCGAATGGTGCTGCGAGCTCAGGAGCTAATGTCCCTCAGGACACTGCCAAGAATGAACCACCACAGAAGGTTTCCGCTGTGACTGTCGAACCATCGGATCAGAATGTGCCCAGAGTTGCGAAGACGAAGACTGTCCGGGGAGCGAAGCCTGGACTGATGACGAACTTATTCGTCAGGGCTTGCCTGTTGGTTGGCGCACTGAGGTCCGGAGTGTCACCAATGCTGACTCCGAGTGCGCCGACCATGGCACAGAGCCGACCAGATTTGATGACAGCCTGGTGGAGTTTCACATGCAGACTGGACTGGTCGACAAGACTTGGATACTGTTCGACAGCAGTGTGAGTGATCGAAAGGACGAATGATGTCGCCGACCGATTGCTCAAAGCCCAGGTCGGACAGGCCGAGGCACTGTATTGTCACGAGTGGAATGAGACCACTGCTCCACTGCTTTCAGTGCTGTTGCCTGACATCCGAGCTGAAGGACTGACTGCGTGTCGGTTTGGTCACCCGGACCTGCGTAGCAATGGTCCGGCGAGCTCGCTGAGGACGAGAATGTCCTCGCTTGCAATCAATGCCGAGTTGAATGGCCAAAACAACTGGATGATCGAGTCGAGTTGGGTCACAATGACCAACCGAGAGACTGTTAAAGCCTGTGCAGTGGGCCAAGCAAGACGTGCTTGAGACGAATGAGAATGCGGAACCAGTCGGCATTCATTGTATTCCGACGCACGAAGTCGGATGCAATGAGAAGCTGGATTGCCGGCGGCGCAGGCGGCAGCTCAAGAATGGAATTGGCGAATTACTTTAACCGCCAACTCACTGATCACATCAGTACTCACGAGTGGGATGGGACTGGTGATCACCAATGGCGATGGGCTCTCACTGAGCCATCAATGGCCTCAATAGGCATTGTGCGAGTGCCCGTGAGATCCAATGTGCCGCCCGAGCCCAAAGCCGACTGTCCTCTGCTTGAATGAAATATTTTAGTAGAGTGGGGAATGTGGGCAACCACGACTGGTCATACCCTCGTGGAGTGGAGATTTATGGGGCGCACAATGGTTTTCGTTGAATCAGGCTATTGGCGGTGGACTGGAGTGCGACTGTTCCAGCTGGGATGAGAGATTTACGAAGACGAGGAGAATACAGCCAATGCTTGGAATGGCTCGAATGATCGCAATTTCGCCAATGTGATGGCGATTGCTCAGACTGCGAATGCCCTCGAGCCCGGCGCCGAGACTGTCCTCCGGAAGAATGCGAAGGGCACCGTGAAGTGAGATCGCAATGGGCTGGCGATTGAATTCAGGAGAGCCTTTGCAAACTGCTAACGGTTTTGCAATGGGAAGTTTACGTTGAAATGTTGAACGGATTTCTTCTGTGGATTCCAGAGAACGAAATTCCTAGGTCTTAGGTTCAAGATGAATGAAACATGAGCCGAAGGTCTGCATTCCTGCAATGTGCAGATGCAAACAGGCCTCCGAATGATAACAGCTGAGATTCGAATGCTTCCACGAGTCGAGCCAAAATGTCCACAATGAGGTCAATGTCTTTTCGCTGCTTTGATTGCTACTGCTTCGACTGTTTCTTGATCCTTTCGCACACACTGCCATCCATGTAGTTAGGATAAGATTACATATTTTGACCTAAATCTTTAATGTAATAACCTTTACCTATAGATTAGTTATAGGATTACAGGAGAGAACCCATCATACATCTTCACATCTATATTTCCATTATACATTTCACCTATATTCTGCTTTATAGTAATATGAAGTGAACTCTTTTTGCTTCAATTTAATGAGAGAAAAGATAAAGGAGAGAAGCGAATGCATGCTTTTATTTGTTTAGAGTTCACTCATGAATGAAGCGTGAAACGAGCTGGCCGATAAAATCGCCTCTCAAGCCTTCAAGGATTGTTAGATTCGGCCATGGACTTCGGGTGGCCCTCTGTAGTGAGCGCGCTCGTCGTTGGCTGGCTTGGCAAGGATCTCCTGGCCTCTGAAGGGCGCGTCGAGTCCGTGGGCGCTCCCTGCACCTGTGTGTGCAAGTGTGCATCTGAAGCTGAGCGTTGGAACCCATTATTCCTGCCCCTCCTCTTGCTCGGTTTGATCTGTCTTGGGTTGCTGGGGCTGATTCTTTTCCGAAGCGCATCTGCTGAACAGCCGATTCCTCGCAAGGGCAAAGGAGTATTCGGACAGTCTGGGAGAACGCTTCAGCTCACACAATGAATGCAGGTGATATCGCGATCCTCAACTATGGAGAGAGGCCAACCACGTGGCACATGAGGGTTCTGCTCACTCCCACCACAGACGACAACTGGGTAATCCTTACACCAGACCTTGATGTGTATGAGGAGCAGATGAGCAGAGACAACCCCGATCTTGTAGGTTTTCACCATTGCGGCCCTGACGGGGCACTACCTCCACGCATCCACGTTGGCAGTGTCTACGCCTTTGCTCCGCTGACGCCTCAGGCTCTTCGGGGATACATGGCACAAGGTCGCGCCGAAGCTGCCCAGATTCTGTCCGAACGGGGAGCTCCAGCGGTTGGTGCCACCCAGGAGCAGCCTGCTGCGGGAGTGGTCGGAGAGCCCGCAGGAGCACCGGCAGCAGCTGCTGATCCTAACGATACTTGGATTGCCGCTGAGGACGGGGTGGCCTACAAAAAGGGGGATGTGATCTCCACTGACCCTGCTCCCTTGCCTGTGGGTCATGTACGACGGGGCGACAAAGGCGTCATTCCGGACGGATCTGGTTTTCTGCTGGTGCGCAAGGTGCCCGCCTCCGAAGTGTTCAAGCATAAGATGCATGATATTCGAGTTCTTCCGGTTACTTTTGATGGCCAGGGAGTTCGTCGAAAGGAGTTTACGACGGCTGTTAGTCAGATGAATGACGATCCTCCTTTGGGAGGGGGGCTGCAGCTTGCAGGACCCAGCTCTGCGCTCAAGCTCTTGAAGGACATGCGGGACCAACAGTTCACTCCAAGCACTTTCCATGAGCATTGGGTTCGGTCCTCGGAAATTCCCAAAGGGGATCGTTCCATATACGAGCACGAGGTGCTGTCGCGAATCTTGGACTCGATGATCCTGGTGGACCAGCTGAACATCCCGGCGCTTCAGTCCGCAGAGCTGATCTTCAGGCGGCTTCAAGTCATCCGCCAGGCCCACAAGGCTTCACCTGGCAACCCTGACTATAGCAGTGCTGATCACTATATGGGGTGGAAATACAAGAAGGTGGCGGCGGGTGTGGACAGTGACTTGTCCGCCTACGTTGCCAATGAACTCAAGAGCGAGGCCACGATCCTGAAAGAAGCGAGGAAAGCACGAGAAGAACAACAAGCTCGCCGCCGGGGCAAAGGGCCAAAAGGGGCTCAGCCTGAAGGTGGCGGCTCCACATGAGTGGAGATGGAGGGGCCCGCGCTGTGGCCGAGGGCGGCGCCTTGGTTTCTCAGGCCAATGGCATGACAACAGTTTTGAATTCGTTCGGGGGCCATCTTGGAGATCAGCGCCATCGTGAACTCTTTCCGCTGCCTCTCTGCGCCGAGGTTCCTCGTCAGCCAGGGCTCTCTTGCAGTGCCAGAAGAAGGAGGGCCAGAGTTAGAGAGACGGTGGAGGCTACTAATTCAATTATTTCGGTGCTGAACGAGATGTATGCCCCTAGCCATGATGGCGACTTTTGCTCTTCAAGTTGTACGGCAGCTCAACAGGCCGCGCAACATGAAGTTTTCAAGGCGACCGCTAGATGCCAGTTGCCTGCCAAGATTTTGACAGAGCGTGAAGCTGTCAAAGAGCTTCTGCAGCAAAGCCTCTCCTATGATGGGACAGAGGCCACGACTACGACGGTGCGACCCTACGAAAGAGGCCTAGTCAGCATACCCTCCGGCGGCCATAGCGCAGTGAAGCTGGACTCGGTGCTGGACGATAGCGGCCGAGATATCGTAGAGGACCCCGCCAGATGCATGTTACTAAGTGCGGAAGAGTGGGGACAGGTAGCAGAGGAGCAAGCGGGGTTCACGCCATACATGGATTCCAAGCTCAAGGGAGACCCTCTTCTCTACTGCAGCTTCGTGAAGGATTTGATTGATTCCGGCATGGTGGAATTCACGTCAGCACCCCAAGATCTGGTCACCCCTTTCTTCGTAGTGAAAAAGACTGGGCGACTCAGGTTGATCCTCGATTGTCGAGGGGTGAACCGGCGGTTTCGTCCACCGCCACCAATGGCCTTGGGCTCAGGATCTTCCTGGAGCCAGCTGTCCATTGAGAAGGGCGACTGTTTGTTCACAGCACAATCAGATATAAAGGACTATTTCTATTCCTTGCAGCTTCCATCAAGTTTGAGACCCTTATTCAGTTTCCCTGCGATCCCGACTGCATGCCTTACAAGGTGGAGTGTGGGGCGAGATCTTTGGGATGGACTTGATCGTGAAGGCTGGGTTTTCCCGATGCTCCGTGTCGTACCAATGGGTTGGAATTGGGCAATGTATTTAGCTCAAAGAGTCCACCAACATCAAGCGATGATTGGGGCAGGGCTGACCTTTGACCGGGTCTTGGTGGACAACAAGCCAGCCCCGGATCTCAGTACAGGGGAGCCGGTCATTTTGCCGTATGCTGATAACCTGAATGTTGCCGGGATTGATCGGGATAAGGTTCAGGCGGCGAAGGATGGAGCAGTTGCAAGGCTCCGCAGCTTGGGCTTTCTCGTTCATGAAGAAATCGATGCTTCAGATGTGGTGCAATCTCTTGGATTTCTAGTCGATGGAAGAAGGGGGACTGTGACGCCGATTCCTGACAGGCTCTCTCGTGTAATCCAATGCTGCCAGTGGCTTGCGCGACGGCCTCGGGTGACCACAAAGGCAGTTCAGAAGATTCTGGGACACTGCGTTCATTTCATGATGCTGAACAGAGGTCTTTTGAGCATTATGAGAAGTCTATATGATTTTGTGCAGCGTAGTGGACCTGGCAGACATCGGCTGTGGACCAATGCTGCTCGCGAGGCTGGATGGCTGGCTCAGCTTCTCCGGATCTGCTCCGCGGACCTGACAAAGCCGTGGTCAGAGAGGGTTACAGCGTCAGATGCCTCGCTTAGCGGAATTGCAGTCTGCAGTCGAAGTTCAAACAAATTGGAAGTTCGCGAAGTGGGTAAAACCCATGAGGGCTGGAGGTTCAAAGGCACAGCCCCTGAGAGGAGACCCAGAAGCGTGCTAGTAGAACCTGGAGACCCATTTGAAGACATTGCGACAGTGAAGCCGGTGTCCATTCCTGAGCCAGACCCTTTCGAGCTGAATGCGGATTTTTCGGAAGTACCCAAAGCTTTTATGGATCCAGCCGAGTGGCATCTATCGTTTGCTCAGCACATGCAATTTCCCGAACACATTACTTTGCTTGAAGGGAGAGGCATTGTTGCAGCGCTTCGCCATAAAGCGAGGAGTCTAGAAGCTTTTGGAAAGCGACATTTGCACCTCAATGATAATCTGGGCATGGTGTTGTCAGTAGACAAAGGAAGAAGTGCCTCGATGGGCCTGTTGAGGGTCTGCCGCCGCCTTCTCTGCCTTCAAGTTGCGCTCGGAGCTACGTTGGTTTGCAGGTGGATTCCCAGTGAGTGGAACGTTGCCGACTCTGGATCTAGACGTTGGGAAGATCTTCGCAAGTCTGATGCTGTTGGGTATGTCAACTCGCGTAGCCGATGCGGTGGTGCATCAGCCTCCCCTTCGACTTTCTGTAGATCACAAGGAGATGCCGCTGTTGCTGGGCTCTCAGGAAGTCCGGAAACGAAATTGCGGGCTCGCTTTCCAAGTTCAGACTCTGGAAACTTTGGAACCGGATTCGAGGGCTGCAAGAGCTCAGAAGAGGCAGAAATATCTGCAAGTGACAGCTTCAGCTCCGCGGTTTCAGGGACAGACTCGCTTGGAACAGGCAGCAATTTCAACGGAAGCATCCAAAGATTACAGGCAGAGGGTCCAAACATTTCAGAATTTCGTGAAGGCTTTCAAGCTGAACATCCAAGATGTGACCAAGTTCGACAATGCCTTCTGCACCTTTCTCAATCACATGTTCGAAGAAGGCTACGACATTGGAGAAGGCACAAAAAGTTGGGCAGCTGTCCTGGATGCTTACCCAGGCTTTTCCCGCAAGGAAATGCTGCCAAGATCGCGGAGGGCGTTGCAAGGATGGAACAAGCTGGATCCCGGAAGAACGCGGCCTCCTCTCCCATGGCCACTAATTGCAGCACTCATCATCAGTCTATTGCAAAGAGGTCGTCTCCGAGCAGCGCTCGCTATCATGCTGATGTTTGTAGCATATCTTCGGCCAGGGGAGGCTCTGGGACTACACCAAGGAGATCTCGTAAACCCAACTCCAGTGCATCCTCATTTTACTTTGAATCTCCATCCAGAAGAAAGACAAGAAAGCTCAAAGACTGGGCTAGCCAACGAGACAGTAATGCTGGACAGCACAACGATCCCTTTTCTAGGAAGCATGTTGAAAAGCCTTTGCAGCGGGAAGACAAGCGACAGCCTCTTACAGCTGGGCTACAACGACCTGCGAAATCAGTGGCAGGAGGCACTTCGTCTCCTGGGGCTGCCAAGCAACTACGCAGTCCTCTACCAACTGCGGCACTCAGGTCCGTCGCACGACCAGTTGAACCGCTTGCGAACTCTCAAGGAAATCAAAATGCGGGGGCGTTGGGAGAGCGACAAGTCTGTGAAGCGGTACGAAGCTCACGCACGTGTCAATCAGGAGTTCCAGAAGCTGCCCGCAACAGTTCAGGCACATGCCCTGAAAGCAAGTCGCGAGTTTCTCAAGGAGGTCCCAAAACTTTTCTCTCGCAGCGTGGCCGCACTGACAAGTGGGTCGTAGAGTTCTTCAGTGGCACCGCTCACTTTTCTCAAGCATGCGCCCGATCTGGTATTAATGCCATCGCCTACGACATTGAGTATGGATCCGACTGCGACGTCTTAAATGAGCAGGTGCTAGCATCCATCAATCGTTTCATGGAGTCGCACCAAGTGATCCTTGTTTGGATGGGTATGCCATGCCACAGTTGGAGTCGTGCAAGGCGGTCGGACGGAGGTCCACCCCCTTTACGCGATGACGCTGCCAACTTGATGGGATATCCGCATCTGTCTCCCAGCGATCGTCACAAAGTACAGATGGGTAACAAGCTGTTGCTTCAAACCTTCCTCTTCGCTCTGCAGTTCTTGCGTGCCAACATTCCTTGGGTGATTGAAAACCCCTGGAGCTCTCGATGTTGGCTAACCGAAGCTTTTCAGGAACTACAAGCCCAAGGGGCTCGGCTCAGGCAGGTCGATTTCTGTCAGTACCACGTGCCCTGGCGAAAGAGCACCGGGCTTCTCTGCTTCCGCTGTGACGCCTTCGCCTCCGTGCTCAAGTGCTGCCAAACAAAACACGGCCGTTGCAGCGCTTCAGGTCATCGCCACCTCATTTTGGCAGGCAAGGACTCGCAGGGCTGCTGGTGGACTCGACGTGCTCAGCCATACCCCGTGGCGTTTTGCAACAGCGTTGCCGAAGTCTTGGCCAGTACTCACAAGGATGTGGGATAAGGGATTTGCATGCTCACCAGGCAACGCTTCAGAAGATCTGCAGCTGCACAGTGCCTGTGTGTGCATTCACTCCTGAGGTCCGTTCTAGTTTCATTCAGCAGCCATGTGCGCCTCTTGCAAGAAATGGATGCGTCCGTATACTGGACTGAGTGTAAATGCGTCATTATTAAGTTAGGCAAAATAGGAACGAAATCAGCACCCAGTTGTGCATATTGGATAAATGCTTGAAGGTTCTCGACTGAGGAATTTTACATTTTCTCTGTCTATACGTACATGCAGACAGCCAGCTGTAGATCGGCCCATTTTAGGCACTGAGCCACACATACATGTCGATGTTCGATAATGCTGCACTACAGTCAACGCCGTGCATCAAAACATTCTTCAAGTCCTGCATTGAGACCATTGAGGCTGAAGGCACTTCCGGAACATCCAAGTGTAAATTCCGTGCTGGTCCGAACCACCCTGAAACTTCCAGAGCATTTGCCACGTCATGAACACGTCTCGTTCCACAACATGGTCTGGCACCCCAAAACTAAGCTTGTTGGTGGCCCAGGGACCTTGTCTACGGGCCTGATGTACTATCGTCACCGTTCACGGTGCCGCCGCTGTGAAGCAAGGGAGTAAAGCCCACAGGCTCGCGCCGGACCCGTTCCCAGTCCAGGTCCCGTAAGAGATTGCACGTGTCCAAGCCCATGCAACTTGCATGGTTCTCGCGACGCATCTCAGCCCACATGCCCCTTGCCAGGCCTCGTGGAGAGCCAAAGCCTTGTTTCAGTTCTTGTGCAAGCCGAGGCCGGGCGACTGGGGCGAACTCGACTGGGGCAGTCCGGTGTTGGACGACTGGGGCGCTCCTGCGTCGGGCGAGTGGGGTGCTGATCCTGTGTCGGATGGCGGAGCCAGCGGTGCTCAGGCAAGAGGGCGCGGCTTTGTTCGCAGGTCTCCGTCGGCTTTTCTCAAGAATTCTTGAAGAGGCCTCGGTTGGGATTTGGAGAGCGATCGTGCTGACTGAGTCCGGCTGAACTCCTAGTTTGGATTGCGCCACGGCGTGGAGGTATCTCGCAAGCTGCACATTCTCGGGTCCTCAGAGGTTCAAGCTCTGCAGCTCCAGGCCATGGGCATCTGTGGTCAGGGTTTCGGAGTGTACAGGCTCCCCGTCCGGCTTTTCTCGTTGAGGCCTCCGCGAGAGTCTCGGATCTGCTGGAGCAGCTCCGCGAGGCGAGGCTCGACATGGCTCTGCCTTTTGGCTCTCTCTCACTCAGAGGGCCAGGTTTTCCAATTCCAGAGCGGTCTAGAAGCGAGTGAAGAAGCTTCAGAAAAGTCTTTGGAACATGGGCTTTTCAGGGGGCCAAGAGACGCAAGGGAAAAGAAGCGTCTGGATGCCTCACAACAAACGCAGCAGGCGCTGTCCGGGACTACTCTTGTGTGATCAGACGCGATCTGCGGATGCCCCCGCTTAGGCTGCGTCTTATAAGTTTGGAGCCTTCCCTCCGCCTGCCATGTCCGAAGCAGCAGGGGAGATAATAGATCTCCGAACCCCTCCATCTGATGCAACCTGCTCATTTGATCACTGTCTTCGGTCAATTCAAAGCCCCATCAAACAGCCTGGATAAGCCAAGCCAAACGGATGTGCTTCCACGGCTTCTTGACCTCCAGCTTGAGAGTTTACCGATTTTTGGTTTTTGGTTCAGCCTGGGGACAACTGCTGCAGGAGCGAGGCATCCCGAAAAAAAGGGAGATTCAGCGCCATGGCCAAAAGATCCCTGAAAAGCCCCCGAAGCCCTGCTTACAGATTTCTTAGCTATCGCTCGTAAGACGGGTTTGAGTTGGAGTGTCTGGTAAGATGGAAGGGCCGTAGCAACGGGAGGATGAATCGACACCTACGGTCGTTTCTCAGAAGTTCGCGGGTGCTAGACAAGATGGGTGAAATTTGCAGTACATGGCACTCCTTGGTGACACAGGTTATCCAGGGGCTTCGAAGTCCCATGACAGTCGACGAGCGTGGACATTTGGAGATACGGCCAAATCGTGCAGTGTCTCCTACCTCTTTGTCAACAGCCCTAGCTGCCCACAAGATCCCAGAAGCTTTTCAAGCACGGCCACCCAGGTTAGTGCTCATGCCAAGCGGGCAGGTTTTGGATGCCACTGGGCCAGAGGAACACAGTTGTGGCGAATGCCTTTCTACTGGGCTGTTCGGTTTTTTTGTCTTTGCGGTTCTGGGATGAGTGCCTCAAGGTGGGCAACGAAAAAACCGCGACGTCTAACTGTTCCTACCTGCCGGAGCACCTCTGAATCCAAAGTGGAGTCAGCTCGTAATTGTGCACGGGCCCACCACCCGACATTGGTCATCCCATCAAAAGCGCCGACGCAGCTGAGGAAGACAACGCGATCAGCGGTTTGCCGGCAGATGAAGAGCTGACGCTTATTCTCTAGGAGATGCGGCTGAACTGCGGCTAGCTGTTGGGTCGGGGTCTATTCCATGCTGATTCTTTCAAGCTGTTTTCAGTTTTGGACCAATTTCGGTAGGAATTACACTGCAGAGGTTTGAATTCCAACAATTATTGTTCACCGAGACAGATTTCGCGTGACAGCTGGGGCGCTCGGAGGCCTTTTGCACTGTAAGGCAGCCCCTAGGCCCAGCCCGGAGATGTCCGAGATGCCCCGAGTCCCAAACCCTGCATCCACCTTGGCATTCGGCGTTGTGCAAAGTCCGAGAAGACCAGAGGAGTCGATGCGCACATCTCTGGACGCCCAAAGACATCCTGGACTTCCTGAGACGGAACACCGGAGTCTACTCGCGGGCTTTAGCTAGCTGTCTGGTGCACGAGAGTCAGCAATCTGTCTTTTTTGCATATCGCTTTCAGGCTCGTCACAAACCTTGGGATGACTCATTTAGTTCGGTCTTGGGGAAGACTCCAGCGTTATGGTGTCTGCTGTGTTTTCGGGACTGCCAAAAGGGTGGCTCCGGACTGCAGGGGCCTCGGCTCGTTCGAAAGGAGTAGGTCAAGCCCAGGGCTTCGGCTGTTTGCCACGAAGGCTCTGCCGGTATAGGCGATGACTCATTTCGGAAAAAGACTGCTGAAGTTGCGAAGCCTGCCAAGGGATGTCTGTGGTGGGCTGGGAGACGAAAGGATTTGTTGAGTTTGAGACACAGTTCCTCCGTGCACGTGCGATCGCAAGGTTCGTGCAGGCATACCCGAGCCCAGCCTCATTCTCAGAGCATTCCGATCTGTAAGACTGTTGATAAGCCTTCACGCGATCAGCCCGCTGTATGCCAGGTACAGCCGTATCTCGAGTACGTCTCGAGGCACTTGCTGCACAACGGTTCGTGCACAGCTCATGATCTAGACAGAGCTTGGAGAGACGTACAGACTGAGCATGCTAGCGGCCACGTGACGGGCAGGTAGCATGGGATCGAGGCTTCAAGTTCTTGGTTTCAGTAGATACAAAGGAGCTTAGAGGAGAGCGGAGTCATGAAGATCCATCAAAAAAAACCTGACTCCGACCTTCAGGCCCCTGGATGACGTGAGCGCCTCTGAGCTAGCGGGGAGCCGAGCAGAGTGGGCTGTCAAATACCCAGTCGCGTTGAGGTTTGGCTTCTTTTTCTGAGTCAGGGCCTCGAAGGCTTGCACCTCGGGCTTTGCGGGCTGAAGCTTTGGCTGAGCTCACCCGCTTAGGAGTAGTTTGGCATGGGGCAATGGGCTCGGGTTTGGTGGCGGCAAAAATGGAGGCCAGACATGTTGTGTCAATGCTTCAACCTAGGGCCATAGACTATTTTCAGGCAAGTATCCTTCGTGCGCAGCACCTGTGAGCCAGCATGGCAGTTTTCTCGACAAACTCCCATGAGAACTGCTGCAGCCTGATCGTACGTCACATCTGAACTTTCCCCAGGTCGAATCCAGGCACCTCCGACTCTGTTGATGAGCTGCTTTGGCCGTCCTCTTGGTGAAGCCCTAGAGTTTGCTTTTCTGTTGGAGGGCTTATTCGTAATTGTGCAAGCCAGGCGAAGCTGGCGCGATAGCATTCCGAGCACACTCAAGGGAATCCGGAACTCCAAGATTCAAGTCCAGCAAGATGGATGCATGGTTTGTCCAAGAACTCCTGCCACACCGATCCGTTGACCAACGAATCCTAAGCCCAGCTCGACATAGATACAACGAGGGGTTGTCAGCACCGGTCGAAGCGGAAAGAAGAGAAGACTCCGGACTTGAGCAGCGTGTTTAGTTTG